AAACAAACGTTTCATAGGGGTATCCAAACTTATGGCCTGTGGTGTACATTGAAATAAAATTATAAAATTTCATCAATTTGCAATTTCAGTTCTCACGAAATTGTGAAATCTCACCCCATTCTTCGGCTAGTTGACGCACAAGGTTGCTGCAACAGCAATATACCATAGGCGATCCTGGTGGCACCGATTGTAATGTGTTGAAAAATACATTGTAACACACAGAATTTTTTAGTGCCACAAGGTGTCGCTAGTGGTAATGCTCTTGCAGCAACGGTGTGAGTTGACGGGGTGTCAATTTATAGATATACAGCATCTACTTTTGCACCATTTTCAAGAAGAGTACGAACTACCTTCTCATGACCTGAATAGGAAGAGAGAGACGCCTATGAAAAGGTACATTTTCAATCAAGGTGTGTGAACGATTCACCAATTTTAGCTGCGAAATGAAGTGGTGTCTGTTTATAAATGTATGCAGCATCTAGTTTTGCACCATTTTCAATAAGAGCCCGAACTACCTTCTAATGTTGTGGAAAGATAATGAGAAAAAATGAAATAAAAATAGGAATTTGATGGATATGTGTGAACGACTTCTCCCTCAGAAGCTGCGTGATGAAGTGGTGTATTTTCAGGGGGATTACAGATTGACAGTTGAGCTACATGATATATACTGAATGAATAGTTCTGTAGCTTGCCGTATATGATATTGTGGGGCAAACTGCGGCGCTAGTGTGCTTGTGTTTCAATCTACAAACCCCCTGTGTATTTTTATATGCGTCTTCAGCATTAACATTAACTCCTTCAGCAATAAGTTTTTGAACGCCAGTTAAGTTGCCTAAATAAATAAATGGAACGGAATGGATTTGATTCGTTTTATATTATAAGAATTACGATCAAAACAACGAGATATCACGTAGCATACCGTTTTCTGAATATTCTCTCAATAAATCTTCCTTGTTACTAGATGCTGTAATTGGACTGATATGTTGGGCTAACTTTGAAAAATATGCGAGAAAATTTATTCAAAATTCACCTAAACACTTATATCAATGATACAAGCCTTAACTAGGAGAATGATTACGGATGTACGTCTCATCTTTTGCAAGCAAAACCGAACAATTTATAAATGAAAGAATAAAAAAAGGACAGAACCAAACGGATTGAAAATCAAAACTTTTCAATTCATGCTTTCTTTGGTTCAATGTCTTTGGTCCTGTTACACATTACACATTGAATATGGTTGAATCAAATTATGGGCTCAGTACGAATCGAATGGTTCACTTTTCATCTTATTAATTATACGATATTGAAGTTGCTACTCGATTGCTATTGTAGTAACACAATTTCTCATGACAGTAAATTCGACTGGTGTATGCAGTTTTTAAACTATTTGGATGTTTGGAACCGTTTTCAATTTTTCTCACACAGAATAATAAAAAATAATTTGAAGTGAACGGTACCCTGATTCGTGTTCAACACTACCGAGTAAAATACCACAGTACATACTTTTTGATATGATGGAAGCTAGTTACAAGATGTAAATTGCAAAAAGTGTATGGCGTGTTGAATCGCATCCGTCACACTAAACACTTTATACCCAATCACGTCAAACGTGATATGGTTTTAACTCTGATAGATCCCATAATGGATTATGAAAACGTTGTAACATACGGCTGGGGCGACCACAGCACCCAAAACTAGGTGCACCGTGATCTTGTTGCTGATAACGACAAGATTCGATACATTTACGGACTAAAACGTAATGATCATGTTACTGAATATCGTGAGCGTTTGAATAGATTGACTCCTGAAAGCAGAGCAAAACTGCACTCGGCATTCTTGATATTCAAGCAGTTGTCAAATTGTTCGCCTGAGTACCTGAAGCACATGTGCGTTCGTAATGGTGAATCGTCGCGTTATCCAGATAATCTTCGCATAAACTTCAATCAGCGTACTGCATTTGATACTCGCGCATTTAGTTTCTCTGCAACTAACTTTTGGAATAGCATACCGGTCGAAATTAGAAATTCTAAACCTCTAGTCGCGTTTAAAAATAATCTAAAGCATCTGTTACGTTCTACGCAGTGAATTTTTCTACGTTTTTCAAACCGCGAATTCTCGGATCATTGTTATGAAATTTCTTATCCAATCAGATTTTTCATTTGATTTTTTTCCCATTACTCTCACACTCATCATTGTATTTCCCCTGGTTCTCCAGAATCAGGCCGGTTTTGCTATGGTTTCCCGGAACCAATTCTGATATGAAACTTCCACTTTTATATCATCCCTCCCATGACTGTATTCTCTTTGCAAAAGATGCACCATGGGCGGAATATATGCCGTATTGGGTCTCTCTCTCTCTGAAGCATATTCTCTGCTTACTGTGAACATATATTGGCATAAATGGAGGCTTCGTAATAAATAAATAAATGAGGGTACCTTCCGTACAAAATCTTCGATTTTCGTCCAAAAATAGACCAATTTTGTTCGGAAGTTATATGTGTTTCAAGCTGAAAGTTGTTCAAAAGTATGGGAATAGGATTTTTTTCATTAAAAAAGTATTCGGAACCAAGTTTGAAGCAATTCGAAGTAAAAATAAACATAGCTGCCCAACGAAATCCTTTTTCATATAAATCCAGCATTAGCCTATTAATAAATAGAAATAAAATGACAATCAAAATACAAAAATTATAGAAAAGAAACGAAAATAACTATGTTGACTGTACTATTTATTGAAGAAAACGAAGAAACATAGAAAGATTTATTAATTAGAATGGAGATGTTGCGCCAATTTTTCGATAGGCTACGCTCAATGCATTCTGGAATGTAGCGAGAATGGAATTGAATTGGTCACATATTTCTTGTGGTATGGCGATCAGTGCGTTGGCATTGCTCAATTGATCAACGACTGCCGATTGGGATAGCTGTTGACACTGTTGGATCGCCGGCGTGGTATCGATTTTCATCGCCAAATCATTCACAACGGCAAGGTACTCGCTAGCGGTAGTCCTATAATTGGTGATAGCGTCATCGATAATCTTTTTTTCATTCATCATTCGTTTACTTTTGTCGGCGGCCGGAATGCTGGTATCAGCACTGATTTTTATGTTATACCGAGCAAAGCGTCGTATATTATCCAGAGTCAAATCTCGTTGCACCATGTTTATATACTCTCGGAGCCGTTGCACGGCTGGCATCTCACGAAACGCTATCGCTCCACATGCATTCGTTACCGAGTCATAATTTATCGTATAATCTCTGGTGTTGAAAATGAAATGGAAAATGGGCATTGATCAGAATTCACAGTTCGAAAAAGAGAAGTTTTGAATTGAAACCAAACGAATTTTTTTTTCTCCGCTGGTACTCGGAATATATTCCGAACCCGCATTCATCAGTTCGATTCGCAATATTTTTCGTCGTGTTTTTCTACCGGAAATGTTGAGAATACATTCGATATTCACACGATTGAACATAATAATATTTCGCAAATCAGTTTTTGCATTCTTTTAAACTTTTTTCCAAATATTTCATACAAAAAAAAACGTCAAATTCATAACTGCTGGCCCAATGTTCAGACATATCCACGAACTTATAACGAATGTTAAATTCAAATATTGGGATGAAATGCGTGGAAGATGGAAACAATTTGACCGCAGAATTATTCAAAGTTTTCTATGTGCCAAATTATGATAACTTGGTCATTCCGCTTGAAAATTGATGAAATGGACTTAAACATGCAAACCAAACACGAAAAATAATCGAATTAATATATTGACCATTCCACACGAAATCATTTGAAAGTCGGATCGACCATCTCCGAATTGGCTGAAAATTATAGAGAAGTTGGTATATTTTTGTTTGTTTCTTCAGAAAATAAAAGCCATTTATGTTGGAATACAGAACAAGGCATTTTTGAAGTACAAAATGTGATTTTCTGCATAAAATATTGCAAGTTGAAAACAAAAGCTAGAACAGGGCCATTTTTTTACCATTCAAACCCTTCTGACAGCGTTGTGATAACTCCAAATCGATTTCTCGTCCAAAAGTACGTGGAAATAGACTCATAACAGTGCATTTTAGATGAGTTTTCTATGCCATAAGTGTGATTTTGTATGCAGATTATATCCATTCGCTTGTTCTATGAAGAAATGTCGATTTCAGAAGAGATTTATAGGTAAACCGATGTTCAAATGGTCTCAAGCTCATGTATTTTGGCGAAGAAATAGTAGTTTTTTCAGTCAAAAAGATCGCGAGAGGCCATTTTTGACCGTTTTACCGACAAAAACGATGAAAATTAAGATATGATTCACCCGCCGAGATCAAAATAACGAATTTAGTCAGGCTACACACGGGATTTCATTTTCTTATCTTATGCGGCGCGACATGGGCTATCTTTTGACGTGAAGAAAAAATCGAAAAAAATATGACACCTATTTGAGATATTTCACTTTTTCTAACTATGAACCCATTTTTGGAGGCCTCAATGGAGACATAGGGGCATGGTTTTGGAGTTTTTTATAACCCCATCGATACATTTTGGTTTTCTCATTTTCTATCGAAAACAAGTCTCCATGCCAATTTTCAGCCAATTCGGAGATGATCGATCCAACTTTCAATGGTCGATATTCAGATTTATGTTTTTCCAAACCTCAAATTAGTGCTCATTGAGCCGCATTGTACTGGCTTTTTGGGTACCAATAGCACAGGTGCAGTTGTAGATGAGGGACCGATTGGACCTACAGTCGTATGTAAAATAAAATATCATTAACATATATTAATATTAATAGCGCATTGGTTTTCCCAATTAATAGAATAATATGTTAATAGCGCTAATAACTACGACTGCTAGTGTCAAACGTAAATGCACAACAGCCACAAGTCACATAATACTAAACGCGTCCATTCTTAATGGGAACCTAATGTAATTTTTTCGCGCGAAATTTGAAAACAATGAAAAATGAATGGGTGCGTTTAATATTATGCAGAATACTAGCGATGGTTGGCTAATAAGATATTAACATACTACTAAAACTCGAAAACTTTGCTTCAAAAAACTAACAAATCATTTTTGACGCAATTTTCAGAAAAATGTACGACTTTTCCAAAATGTTGACCAATTTAAACTTTCAACTCGATATAATAATACATTTTCGAGATATTGTGACATAAAAGTCTGCTTTGAGTCTCGGTTTAACATATAGCAAAACGAATAACTGGTAATACTTACCAGGTGCTTGAGTAGATGTTGGCCCTCCAGGTCCTCCGGGTACAACTACAATCGTATGTAAAATAAATAATGATTAATAAGCCTCCCAGATCGATTTCAGCTCAAGTCGGGAATTTCGTAGCTCTAAAGTGGGAAAAATGTACCGAAATCGGTAATTTTCCAAATTCAATGAGTTTTCATAAATTTGGCCGCTAAAGCGAATGTGACGAGAAAACTTGGAAATAATAGATCTCAATGTGGTCTCAAACTATTGAGAGGCACTGTATATTTACTAATTTGAATTCTGATGAAGGAAGATATTGATTATACTCACAACACATCTGTATGTTTAAATTAAGTGTACACTGTACACGGTCAATTTATGTTGTTGGGGTTAAATATTTAACCCGAGGGTTAAAAGTTAATATTTAACCCCCGGGGGTTAAAGTTAAAATGCTAACCCTCGGGTTAACGGTCAATTTATGTTCTTTAACTCGCACTTTTAATCCCTGGGGATTAAATATTTGTCAAAAGTTAAAGTTAACCCCCGGGGGTTAAAAATTTTGTATGGAAAAGTAGAACATAAATTGACCATTTAACCCCAACAACATAAATTGACCGTTAGTATTTTATGCAAATTCTTGAATTAAATAATTGGTTTTATTCATATTATTATGAAGAAATTTTTCGAAAAAAGTCAAAGCGGGAAAATGTGCTGTAAATCGGGAGAATTTCGGTCCGAGTAGGGAATTCGGTTCAATAATCGGGACGGCAGGAATTGCGACGAAAATCGGGAAATTTCCGATTAGAAAGGAGGTCCATTTAAATTATTATCAGTGGGGCGACGTCAAAAAAATTGCTTGGCAGCGCCCAGTACTCCCGCAGTGGTGAGAAACTAAAACACACCAATCACCAATATTGATGTTCACGATCATCAAATTGTTCATACTAAATTTTATCCACTTTAGGCACTCATAACCACTCATAACAATAAAATTCGTGATTATTAGAATCACATATCAAGTTTACATGCTAACTCAAAATCAAATCGGGAAAATTAAAAGTAAATTCGGCAATTCGACGAATTACCGAACGTTTTTCGTGTTTTCGGCAAAATGTTTGAAAAATGTTGGTAAAATGGCAATGGTAATTTTGAATTCACTGGAAAAACCGTATGTAATGTTTGTCAATAAAACAACAAATGAGCGAGCGAGAGAAGGAACCACAAATATCACCAAAAACTCAATTCGAAAAAAAAACTTTCACTTGTGTCAAAATGTTTACATTTTTTGCTGTTGATTTTTTTTTATCTCACTCCATGCCATGATCGAAATTCACTCACATCGGATTCCATTTTCACAGGAATTCAACACTGCCATTGATGATTGATTTCAAAGAATTCCATGCGACTCTTCATTACTCTTAAGGCCATATGCTTGATGCGGAGCATTCAATGAGTGGCGAAACACACTACGCAGTACATCAGTGATGTACGCTTATGTCGCCCTCCTGATTAATATCAACATATCTTAAAATTAATAGCGCATTGGTCTTGCCAATTAGTAGAATAATATGTTGATAGCGCTAATAAGATATCAACATACTACTATTAACTCGAAACCTTTGCTTCAAAAAAACTAACAAATCATTTTTGACGCAATTTTCAGGAAAATTAACGACTTTTCCAAAATGTTGACTAATTCAAACTTTCAACTCGATGTAATAGTCCATTCTCGAGATATGTCACAACAAAAGTCTGCTTTGGGTCCCGGTTTAACATATATAGCAAAACGAATATCTGTACTTACCAGGTGTTTGAGTAGATGTTGGCCCTCCAGGTCCTCCAGGTCCTCCAGGGCCACCTACAGATTTAAATGTTCGATATGTTTTTAGCCAATATATCTATCATTATGTTATGTCACACAGATTGCAGTGACTATTATGTGAACGGGTGAGATTGGAAACAAGACATATTCTGGGAATATATATGAATGATACAAAAACGAATGATTTTTTTAAAGTGTAACATCGGCAGGAAATTTTTCGAAGTGAAACACCGCGTGTTACATTTCAATAAAATTTGTTTTCCATGATTCACTTTGAAAAACGTTTGCGCTGGTGTTTCGTTTGTAAATACTTGTTGGATGGTGTTTCGGTTCTAGGAATGCATGATAATTTTATTGATAAGGAATGCGAATTTCGATGTGGTGATAACACCAATGGATTGGTCACATGAAATACTGTTCCAGGATCGAAAAGAAAATTTAATTTTTTTTTCGATTTTTGCCTGTTTCGGATCGTCTTCATGGGAAGTTTGTATGAAAACCTCGGAGCGCCGGTGTTTTACCCGTATTGTTATACACATCAACGAAGCAGTCTGCTTCACCGTAGAAAAGAAGTGCGCAGTAACGAACAAGAACGTTCAGGTTTCGGCAACGTTGCATTATAGCGATTATGAATGATCGTAATGAGAAATGTAACAATAAATTACTTTCATTCATAATCACTAGTGAAGCCACGTTGCCAAAACATGTACGTTCTTGTTTCCATACTGCGCACTACTTTTCTACGGTGAAGCAGACTGCTTTGTTGACGTGTATAACAATACGGGTAAAAATTGCACGTAAGTGTGAACGAAATAGCATGAGTTTTCGGCGTCCGAGGGAATAGGAACTTCCGAGCTGGTTGAATGATAGCTCAATGGGAAGCCATCAATTTGTATACGTAAGGGTTTGGGAGCGATGGACACATTATTCTTGCCGAAACAATCCCAGTTTTGGCCATGTCTAGATTTTACCATATAAACCAATGTAATTACACCGGCGCTCCGAGGTTTTAAATTTTTTTTCTCGATTCTGGAACAGTATTTCATGTGCCCAATCCATTGATGTTATCACCACATCGAAATTCGCATTCCTTATCAATAAAATTATCATGCATTCCTTGAACCGAAACACCATCCAACAAGTATTTACAAACGAAACACCAGCGCTAACGTTTTTCAAAGTGAATCATGGAAAACAAATTTTATTGAAATGTAACACGCGGTGTTTCACTTCGAAAAATTCTCTGCCGATGTTACACTTTAAAAAAATCTTTCTTTGGTGTTTCATTTAAATATACTAAAACCAAGAAATTTTTTAAAATTTGTTAAAACAATATTAAGACGAGAAGAGTCGATAAAAAAATATTCTAGGCCTTCATTTCAAATGGTCGTGATGAAGAGAGCTAACGATACATTCATATGTGTCAATTTTAAATGGAAACATTACTCTCGACAGCCGTTTGCATGGTTGAAATTATACAAATCCGGCGAAAAATCAACATGTCCATAATTCACCACATCCAAAATATACCCTAATAAAATATGTTATTAAATCTTAATCTATATGGTGCGTACCAGGTCCTCCAGGTCCTCCGGGTAAACCTACAGTCGTATGGAAAATAAATCATTATCAACATATCTTTATATTAATAACGCATTGAATATCCCAATTAGTAGAATAATATATCAATAGCGCTATTAAGATATTACCATACAACTAACCCGAGACCCATGCTTCAAAAAACTTACAAATCACATGCTTCGGGCTTTATTGAACCCAAGCGCCTTTTCATGTAGTTTTCAAGAAAATTGACGACTTTTCCAAAATGTTGACTAATTCAAACTTTCAACTCGATGTAATAGTCCATTCTCGAGATATGTCACAACAAAAGTCTGCTTTGGGTCCCGGTTTAACATATATAGCAAAACGAATATCTGTACTTACCAGGTGCTTGAGTGGATGTTGGCCCTCCAGGTCCTCCAGGGCCACCTACAGATTTAGATGTTCGATATGTTTTTAGCCAATATATCTATCATTATGTTATGTCACACAGATTGCAGTCACTATTATGTAATCAATTATTAATGGGGGAAGGCGGTGCCGAATCTGGGAATTGGTCGGAAGCAGTGCCGCCCTGCAAATCTTTCTTTTGCCGCCCCAATGTATTGAGTTTTCTACTTCAGACTCGTGCCGCCCCGTATTCTCGTGCCGGCACGGCTTGCACGTGCCCAGATCCGGCACCGGCAGAAGGCTTTCTTTTTTATTTGAGTGTGTGAAAAACAAGACAAATTTCAAAATTTGTGAAAACAATATTAAGACGAGAACAAAGTTCTGTTCCATCGCATATGGGGTACGAGTTATGGAGAGAAAACTGAAAAAACGCAAAAAATCCATATAAATGTACAGAAAAATAGCCAAAGTGAGAGGTTTTATCAAAAACTGATCTTCGCGAGGTATAGCCAATTTTCGACGAGGAATCCAAAAATGCAATTGAGTTGGGGTTGAGGAGTAAGATTTACCCACTTTGGGGTGGTTTTTGTACTTCTTCAATTTTGACCTCTGTTGAAGGGCAGGCACTGGGTCAACATGGGAGGCAAACACTATGTACCAATGAAATTTGTGGGACCAGGCGCAACTTTCGTGGGAACCTATTTGCCAAATTGAGTTTTAAGGGGAGAAAAATGCATCGAAAGTGTTGGGGATGAAATTTTTAACATTCGAAGGCGAATTTAGAGTATACACTATATACCCAACACGAGTTCACCATGGTATCCATTTGGTATATGTTGCGCCTGATCTACTTATGGAGCCTTCATTGTTCATTTATCTTGAAATTTATCTAAAATTTGACAATAGATAATTGGAAAAATATGAAGAAAAGATAAAGATAAGATAAATACGCAAAATGAAATTTTCATCTAGATAAGATAAAAGACAATATCTTATCTATCTTATCTGGTTATCTCATCTTAAGATGTTATCTCAACCAAACACTGGTTATTAAGTTTTAATCTATATGGTGCGTACCAGGTCCTCCAGGTCCTCCGGGTAAACCTACAGTCGTATGGAAAATAAATCATTATCAACATATCTTTATATTAATAACGCATTGAATATCCCAATTAGTAGAATAATATATCAATAGCGCTATTAAGATATTACCATACAACTAACCCGAGACCCATGCTTCAAAAAACTAACAAATCACATGCTTCGGGCTTTATTGGACCCAAGCGCCTTTTCATGTAATTTTCAAGAAAATTGACGACTTTTCCAAAATGTTGACTAATTCAAACTTTCAACTCGATGTAATAGTCCATTCTCGAGATATGTCACAACAAAAGTCTGCTTTGGGTCCCGGTTTAACATATATAGCAAAACGAATATCTGTACTTACCAGGTGGTTGTGCTGGCCCACCAGGTCCTCCTGGGCCACCTATAGATTTAGATTTTCGATATGTTATTAATATGTTACACAGAACATATTGCAGTTATCATCATGTTATTAATTATTAATAGGGGAAGGGTTTCTTTTTTATTCGAAAAACAGTCGATAAAAATATTCTACACACAAAAAACGGATTCATACATTTGCACACATGGATTTGACTACGGATATACTCATAGCGTTTCATTTGCTATGCGTTCGCATACACATTTTGCATACTGTATGCAATACTATTATAACTATAAGTAAGACATACGGTATGCAAAATGTGTATGCGAACGCATAGCAAATGAAGTTCCATGTCTTCTATTGTAGCAGAACTATGTAGAGATATTTTGTGTATAGACATTCATTTCAAATGGTCTTGATGAAGAGAGCTAACAATAAGACTGTCCCAAAATAAATTGTGGTCGTGATTTTGGTGATGCTCCGGCGTTTTATGAAAAAGGGTTGCGGTTATCAGAAACCTATTCTGAGATTCGCTACTACTTCCGCATTTCTGTTTTCTGAACACCTTTCTTCCTCAAAAATTCATAAAATGACCCGTGGAGCGAAAGGTACAGCCAAACTCCGATCCCGATGTATGGAAGCATATGTTCGCACGCCCCCAACGAAGAAGTTGGCAGTGTCCGATTTCATCTATCTTCTCCATTTTTCAAAATAGTAGACTGAATATTTTTCTTCTGAAAATCAGTCCATTTCTAAATTTGGGATTCACCTCGGATTTTGCAATTATCACTATTCCCAGATCTGTTTGGCACAAAACGACGAGAAATGCAAAATAAATAACATTCCCGGCGAGAAATATGGGGAAACAACACACTTCCCGTACAAAAGTACTGGAAATAGGGAGAAATATTAAATTTGCCCATTTTTCACATTTTTCATGCAAAATCAATTGAATGTCACTAATTGAACTGTTCTCACAATCAGGCGGGGTAGTGTGATGCGTAGGATTTTTTTTGTCAAAAGTTAGGTGGGAACATGTTGTCAGAACCGTTAAATTAGTGACATTCAGTTGATTTTTTATGGAAAATGTGAAAAATGGGCAAATTTCATATTTCTTTCTTTTTCCAGTACTTTTGTACAGGAAAGTGTGTTTTTTTCTTCTAATATTTCTCGCCGGAAATGTTATTTATTTTGCATTTCCCGTCGTTTTGTGCCAAACAGATCTGGGAATGGTGATAATTGCAAAATCCGAGGTCAATCCCAAATTTAGAAATAGACTGATTTTCAGAAAAAAATATTCAGTCTATTTTGAAAAATGGAGCAGATAGATGAAATCGGGCACTGCCAACTTCTTCGTTGGGGGCGTGCGAACATATGCTTCCATATATCGGGATCGAAGTTTGGCTGTCCCTTTCGCTCCACGGGTTATTTTGTGAATTTTTGAGGAAGCAAGGTGTTCAGAAAACTGAAATGCGGGAGTAGTAGCGAACCTCAGAATGGGTTGCTGATACCTGCAATCTTATTTTTTCGTGATCCTTTTTCATAAAACGCCGGAGCAGCACCAATATCATGACCTCAATTTATTTTGGGACAGTCTACTAACAATACATTCACATCCCGTGTGGGAATATTGTAACTGACCAGTCAGTTAACTAATTTCGGACAAAAATGACTTTCTTTGATTGACATTTCAGTACAACGTGTAGTGTAAGTCTTTCAAAGTTAACTGAAATCATTTAAAGTTAGAAGTCAACATAAATTGCTTATTTTGGGACAAAGTGATTTTCTTCATACAAAAACATAAACTCAATCAACTACAGTCAACTGAATCTAAAGTCAGCCAGTCAGTCATTTTTTTCCACACGGGATGCGTCAATTTTTCATAAAATATAAGATTGGACTATGACAGCCGTTTGCATGGTTGAAATTATTCAAATTCGGCGAAAAATGGACGTGTGCATAATTCCCCACGTCCAAAATATCCCCTAATAAATATGTTTTATATTGTACCAGGTCCGCCAGGTCCACCGGGTCCACCTACAGATTTAGATTTTCGATATATTATTAGCCAATGCATCTATTGTTATAAAATATGTTGTTAAGTCTTAATTTACATACCTGGTCCTCCCGGTTGGCCAGGTAGTTGAGCCCACAATTGTTGCTACAAAAAAACAGATTCATTGAATTTTCTCGCCAAATAAATTCGAAGTGAAGAACGATGACGATGGACCAAGAGTAAAATATAAATTGATATAAAACCAATTGATTTTGTATTAATGGTAATCCATAGGCAAAGTTCTTCTCAAACTACTGGTTGAATTGATAATAATGTTTCAGTAAGTTTATATATAATTTAAATTGTTGAGCACAGTATATCTTCTCAACTGTAATTTTGATAATTTACCTGTATGCTGGCACAAATAAAAATCACAAATAACGACTTCATCTTTACAATTCAATTTACTGAAACCAACTGATGATTTTATAGACAACACATCCATCTTTATATACCCAGTAATAATGAAGTTTATTTTCGCGCATCAATATCAATAACTATTTTCATTGTTTATTTTCAGAAATATGAACACAATTTTAACGAATTGAATAATGCAAATAAGGCATATTTTGTTATGTCGTTTTCGAATTTCGCTATTTATTTGGCCCGTTTAACAAAATTCTTCCAGAAAATGTGCGACCCAGTGCGTTCCAGGGTCAAATTAAACAATAAAAAAAGAAGAAAGCAGTAGAAAAAGAAAGTCAATACACAAAATTATATTCTATTAATATTCTCATCGGGGTGGATTCTCTGGAATACAAATATGACACAATACTGAATGATGCAAAAAAATGTTTGAATATTATTTCATTGAAATTTTCTCTTCTTCAAAAAAAAATTGATAATAAGTTCGACTAATTAATCTAATTTCAGTATGAAAATATTTGTCTGGCAAATGAAACTATTGTCCGACACATAAAAGACAAAAACGACCTTAAATCAAATGGAACCTTGATACATCGATAAATACATGTGGTGGTGAAAGCAAAATCATCCATGCTTTTTCTGAAATCTCTTCAGATTCAATGTATTGTAGACTTTTAGTTACCGAAAGGTGGAGGGAGGTGGAATATTGCAAAAATGCAAAACTCCAAATGATGAAATAGATTTAAAAATGAAAGAAATATTCCAAAACTTGTTACTTTTCCACACTCCTAGTGGTTTTACGCATATTCCTCTTTTATGTTGAAGTAATGACCCAATGAATGATGTCACTATGCACCAATGTGCGACTTTCGCTTGCACCAGAAGCGTCAAACCATTAGAAATGGTAGAAAAATTTGCAATAGGTTTTTTTCAGAGGTGATATCAATATGACAACTGCAATCTTATTTTTAGAAGGCAAACTAACGATTAAACCCCGGAAAATGACAAACAATTGACACTTTTATTTTTTGGACCACTTCTAATGTAACATGTCACATGATCGCAGTCTGGACTATCTGGAAAATTTCAACCAAAATACTGGGACAAATCTGGAGTCGTGCCTCATAGTACCGTTAGGTTTCAAAAGAAAGCTTTAATCTGAAATGTCTGGCATTGATTCCTTATTAGGAGATTTACTTGGATCGACGCTAATTCTGTTTCTTCGAGGAAAATAGAGCACATCTGCATGTTTCGATCATTTTCCATATACTCAGACCAAAAGAGGCCGTCACCTCTTATCTCTACCTCGTGTTTACGTACAAAAAAAATGGAATAAATAGTTGTTAGCAAAGTCTAGTTTAAATCAGTTCATTTTGAAACCCTAAACGGAACGCTCACTTTTTTTGCAATCATTGAACCAAACATAGGTTTTTTCATTAAAACATAAATAGAAATATTTTGGAAACTTGGTCAAAATTTCAAAAAAGGAGAACTGCAGTTTTTGTTCCCATATTGTTTCAGTGAATTTTAAATTTGAAAGTACTTTACAATTAATCAATTGTCAAAAATAAGATATTAAATACTGAGGTGACTTTTGAAGGAAATAACGTTGCAACATCAGAAAATGGGTGTTGCATTGAGAACAATGGCATTCGACAACCAAAGGAATTACAACTGGATTTTATTCACTAAATGATGATTGCATGCACCATATTTTGGACTGGTTGTCAATAGAAGATTTATGTAGACTACGAATGACATGCAAGCGATTTTACTTGGTGGCTAATGGGCACTTCCTAAAGACATATGGACATGTATTTGCCTGTTATCACAATTCTGATCGTGGGATATTTAAAAACTATAGCTCAAATGAATACCGTTGGTCGTTTGCTTCTGTGGTTCAAAACGTCAGCTCCTTTGGTCATGTAAGAAAATTATCTGAATTGGATATAAAACTCAATCATCATGTAAAATATATTAAAATTCATTGCGCAAATTTTAATGTCGATTTGACCGATGTACTCCTGAAGAACAAGCTGAAAAACGTTGAAGCGATAAGTTGTTATCCGACAGTTTGCTGTAGCTTTTTCCAAATCTCGAGTACAAAGCATACTATCCATACATTCTAATAGATGTGGAACTAAAGGTGTCAAACGAACACTCGTTTGTCCGTCCGTCCGTCCTTTTAAAAATTTAGGACGGACAAAAAATTTTGTTTGTGCGTTTGAAAACTTAGGACGGACGGACATTCCTTACGATAGGACGGGCAAATGTATATGTTCGTTTGACTCCTTTATGATATTTTGAATAAAACAATATCAGAAATGAATTCCTCGTCGATAACTATGTTATAATAGGGGAGATGGGGGTAATCTGGGACACTTTTTTTCAAATAGGCGGAACTCGGGTGCTATTGAAGGAAATTGAAAAAATTTATATACCGTAAAAAAGGTATTGTTTAAAGGTAACTTTTGGCAAACTTCATTTTTTTTCTGCCCCGTCTGGGGTGGATGGGGCGCCAATTTTCCGAAGGGCTTACCCTTGCGGGTAATCTGGGACAGTGGGGGTAATCTGGGGCAGCCACCATTTTGTATGTTTTTCAGCAAAATATCTCAATATTTGTTGGTATTTCATGTATAATTCGAAAAATTCATCTATTTCAAACAATTTCCGACTGTTTTTATCTACTTTCACTGGCAATTTATTTCGAAAACTAGGAAGCAATGGCATTATACTTAGACCTCCCAGATGCATTTCGGCTCAAATCGGGAATTTTGTTGCTCAAAAGCGGGAAAAATGGATCTAAATCGGGAATTTTTCAGTATCAATAATTTCACTGTAAAATGCATCTGAGAGGCCCAATTTAACATTATCTTTTAAGCTGAAGCAACAAATTTCCAGAACAAATGACTCGAAATAGATAACTGTAACAAAAAATCATTGACGATGCAAGAAAGAAGAAAGAAGAAAACAGTATTTTTGTGTATTCAAATACATTTTCAATTTCGCATGTTTTTTTTATTTTAATCAGTAAACGATAAGTTCGTACGTAAATATAATATCGTAATCATCAGAACTGAATGTAAACATCAAATGTCAGCATTCTCGTCACAGCATGTGTTTGACTTATTTGCGTCCTATATTAGATATTCGATCTATAGCTTATGAAATCACACGACACACTGATTGAAATTACAATAAGTGTGAATCGCGAAAAGCAAAACTGCAACAGTACATAATTGTTCTGGTGTTGGAGACAGCATGTCTGGCAATGCATACTGATTTACATACCCATTCCAAACAAAAAAACCCGAGTATACAGTTTTTGTTTATTAATCGATATTTTGGGTAATCTTTTGTTCAATGCACGTTTTACTTAGTCGCCATGACTCAAAATCTGGAGACATCATTTTTGCTGACAAATGCAAAATCGACAGATGTTTTCAAAGCTGTTTGGAGAAAAAAATCACAACGCAATTGGCCCACATTTGATTGTTGATATCAATGTATTTCGTAATTCAAATTCTGAGAAGTTATGAAAAAAAGAGATTAATTATTCGTAAGTGAAAAAACGATTTATTTGTATACCATGAAGAAATTTTAAGAAAAAAAAATTTAATCAGGAGAATTTTGGCCCAGATCGGGAATTTGGTCCAATAATCGGGAAGGCGGGAATCGTGATGAAAATCGGGAAATTCCCGCCTAGAAATCGGGAATGGGAGGTCTAATTATACTGAATGAAGGGAAAAAATGCATTACCGGTTTTTGGAAAAATAAAGAAATGATGATGCGCAGTATCTTATTAGAGTCGCGATAGTCTCTCGGTATTCCGGTAATATTTGATACCACCTAGCTGTAATAATCATAATTTTGGTTCACTGGACATTGCTGTTTCACCCGATTTCAACGTCGATTCTTCTAATGGCGTCTTTTTGGTACAAATTTATAGATATGTACCTATAAAACTACAACAAACATTCAAAATCGTCATTAAATTTAAAGATAAACACTATTTGTATGCCTTAGATATGGCATGAAATGCATAAAATGCAAAAATAAACTGTCCCACTTTACCCCCACCAAAGTGTCCCACTTTACCCCCAGTTACCAAATTTCACGCCACATATGAAAAAAATTTCACTAACCAGAAATAATTAAAATTACTTATTATTACGTGAAAGCACTCGACTTTAGCTACAAATTATACTTACCATCAATTCATGTACGCTCAAAAATGAATGAGATATTCACGTTTCTATGGAGAGAAAAAATTGTTGCGTGAAGTGGCAAAAACACAAACCGTGCTCTGGCGCAGCGTGTATCAGACTGAGAAGAGAGTCTGTGCACGTCAAATGATCGCCACACTAATGCACATTTGCGTTTATTATCGTTTTGATGTTTGGTGTTGCCCATCGCGAGAAAAAGGGGGTGTCCCAGATTACCCCCTGTCCCACTTTACCCCCTCTTCCCCTACCTTATTGGATGTTTCAAAAGTTAGATTTGCGGACTTTTTTGGACGAACAAAATCTCAAACGGACGAACAAATTTTTTTGTCCGTCCTAAATTTTCAAACGGACGAACAAATTTTTTTTTGCTCAATTCGGGAATTAAGATCGATAATCTAGTATTGACGATAAGAGAAATGCATGAAGAAACGAATGTAGATCAATTCTTCGAAAATGTGCAAACTCTTTACGAGAATCAGCAGATCAGAACATTACATCTGAAAATATATCAGAAGAACTTTTTGCTCAGTGCAACGATGCCATCACTCACATTCCCGGAAAGCATCAAAGTCGGTGTACGTGGTGTACTGTTGAAAGATTTCTCGAAAATTTGAATGGTGTAATAGCTTTAACAAATCTAAAGTTCTTGATCTATGATGATCCTATCCTATCTCTACATCACATTGAGTTTCTAGCCCAAGAACTTGATAAACTCGAGGAGCTGCACACAAAACGGAGTTGTTTTATCGGACCATTTGCACGGTATCCAGAAAAACTAAAATGTATTTGCATAAAGCGTTCTCATGATTGGATAATCTTATGGAAGAATTTATACCTTCCTCTACAAATGCTGGATAAGGAGCGACGTCAACTGAAGAACGCTTGTAAATTAACGATTTATATGAATGAAAGCTATTATTTGCACATGAAGAACAATTCATCAACCAGTAGCTACGGCCTTGTGAAAATAAAACGCATCGATTCCTATCCCATGTCATTGACATGATGTCAAAACATCCACTAAGACAACTCTTCAAATAAACTTAAGTATTTTCAGATGCTTAAGCGTGCAGATCGAAAATGAAATTCGATTGTGTCATGTACTAGAAAATATCTACAATTATAACCACAAATACACCAATGAAAAACTGATCTGAATGTCATCTTCGTTTTTTAGAATTTCTTTTACGATTGGTATTTTATCTTACGGTATGAAAGTGAATCGCAAAAGTGAATCATGAGTTTTGAATACGCAAAAATGAGCCATGAACCTCCTATGCTGCCCATGTAAATTCATGTTTCACATTTGCATAATCAGAACTCATGATTCATTTTTGCGAATTTTTTTTCTTGATGCGTTTCAGAATGTTTATTCCTGTATTGCCATTTTCATTCTCACAGCCTCATATGTCTTGTTCATGTAGCGCATATTGTTTCGGTAGTGCTTTGATCATCGCCTGAACTTTGTTGCAATGTGTATTAGTGTGTTTCAAATAGTACGAGCCAGTAATACCCCAAATATTCAATCATACCTCGACAATCATCTAAACTAACTTGAAAAAAATTATTAAAACCATTTTTTATTTACATAGGTTTCGGTTTTCTGTGGAAAACTATAGTAGAATTTATTGTTAGATAAAAAGAAACAATTGATTAAAATAATCCGATTTTAGGTCAAGGGAAGTGTTTTCTTCTGGAAATGTTCTAAATCGAAAGCATCGTTCTTTGGAGCTACATTGAAAATTCAAGGATGAAGATATTATTAATTCATTTCAGTCATGTTAGTATACTAATGATTATAATCGTGTCCCGGATGAATCGACAACGAATTGACACTCTTTCATTTTGGAACATTCCAGTGCCTAGTATATGTGAGAACTCTGAAACTTCTCCTTCATTAATTAAACACACATATTAAGTTGTATGCTTTATTCAATCATTTAAAAAAAATACAGTCAACTGATGCTGTTTCTTCGCCTCTTCTAAGATAACATAATTTTTTTTTGATTAAGTTCAAAATAGAATGTGCTCAATAAATAATTTGGTGAATTCTAATCAATTGCAATAAGAATGGTGTAATAAAAAAGTGTTTAAGTGCTGCCGATGATATTTTCCACGGGTTTGTACAATGATTGCATTTTCTCTTCATACCCTATAGGGAGGACTGTTAAATTTCTGGCTATGTCCAATTGTTGGGCTCGCAAATTTTCAACTAGGTCAATAATGTTTCTCAATGTTTCCGTTGAGTTAAGTTTATTACAATTTTCATCGATTTTAATGGCAAACTCTTGTGCTTTGGCGGCAAAAGCGTCGATCGCCTGTGTGATATTGCCTTGTACTTCGGTAATTACTTCCGTCATTCTGTCTGATCGACTCGCTAGAAATGTGGCAGCGAATTTTTTAATTTCCAACAATAGTCGCTCATGGAAAAGCTTGAGCTTGTAATTGAGGTAAGTTCTGAGTCGTTCACAAATCTGCGGTTCAGTACGACGCACTGAATTCGCCGCCGTTGGTATTCCATCTAAATTGGTGATAAAGTCTTGGGCCCGTGGTCGAAAACTTGTAAGCTTGACATTTTGGCGTGGCAAGTCACCCGCTCCTGGTGGTGGTGGTGTGGTAGGCGAATTTCCTTGTGGATTGCTTGAACTAGTCGACGAAGTTACTGCTGCAGTACTGCTCAACGGATTTACTGTGGGCCCACCTGGACCTCCAGGTCCACCTAAAAAAATTAATTTTCGATATGTATTATATGATTAAAAAGTTATGTCACACAAAACATATTGCAGTTATTATTATGCTACCAGGTCCGCCAGGTCCACCGGGTCCACCGGGTCCACCGGGTCCACCGGGTCCACCGGGTCCACCTACAAATTTTGATGTTCGATATGTTATTAATATGTTATCAGCCAGTAAATCTGTTGTTATAAAATGTGTTATTAAGTCTAAATCTATATACCCACCAGGTCCGCCCGGACCTCCAGGTTGGCCAGGTAGTTGTGCCAACACTTGTTGCTAGACGAAAAAGATGAGAGAATTGCAACGGTTTATTAACGAAAAATCACAAGAAAGTCTTTTGAGTATTGAAATTGATTCGACTCAAACCTGCAACAAAACTGCAGAGACAAGCGATAGTAGTAAGGCGAAATGGTTCATTTTGATTTCGTTGTTAAATTCAGAATAACTACTGATTCCGATAAGTCTGACGGTATTTATACAAAAATCACCTGGTTCACATCGAGACAATGTGTTGACTTTTATTTATTTTCATGTATTATTGGTAAACATTAGATGTGTTTTTTTTTGCTGTCTTAATCCAAATATATTCAACGAAGACAACCAAATAGGCAATTGTTTGCATAATAAAATGTACAACTTTTTCCACAAAACCAATAAAATATTACTTTTTTCATCTAATCAAATATAAAAATAGATTGGGATACGCAAGAAATTTTTTGGCCTAATTTTTTTCTAACCATTTTTCTATCTTAGTTTAACAAAACCAATTTACGCGGTGTTGAACTAGTTTCAAGGGCCATCGAATATTGACATTGACACTGACACAATTCATTAAACCTATTTTATTCATAGTTGGAATTTAGCGTTTTTCTCAATAGCTTGAACGTATTAAAAATAGAGATGCAAGCCAAAATCTTTGAAAAAATATATGAAAAACAAGCAAATTACCGGCACCTTTTAGAGTATACCATGACGATATTAATTCTTCTCCATTTGGAAATGTTCACATAACCATTCTAAACATCGCAATTCAAGCTGAAGTCTTCAACTCATTCGAATTTCGGTTGTGGTTCTTAAGCGAAAATGGCTTGGATTAGCTAAACCATTGAAACCATTTGACTCGCAATTGAATATACATTTCTCCTTTATTCACACTATTCTGATATCTTCATTCTTCATGGATTTTTTCTCTGCTCTACTCTTTTGCTAACGAATTAGAAAATAACGATGTTGTTCGTTTTTCAACATTTCTCGAATATAGCAAATAATATGGATTTGATGGCATTTCATGGCTTTGAAGAATATTCAAAACGGAAAATACATACGGAACTGAAGTGAACATTGTTCTGAACAAATTTAATCATTACATAAAAACATTGTTCATTACTTTTTTTTACACAAAAAATGCATGTCAAATGGAAGCAAAATCGGTCATTTCCTTTCATTACTGAAAAATGTTCTTTTTAGAATCAAGAATGTTCAATTTGAAATGTCATTCATTGAACGTCAAATATATGACAAATAAATTAATCTTCTGAAAAAGTCGTGAAAAATAGTGTTACTTTTTGATTAAATTACATGCTAAAAAGCAAAAGTATCATGTGTTGTTCCACGGGATCATAAAGGAAAAAAATCAATGAATGCTGAAGTGCTGTAAAGTAAGTGCTGAAAAACAACACGCACGATCAGTGTTTTGTAACAAACAGCATATACATTTATTTTGTCATGCCAATCGAAATTAAATGTAATGGTCACATGCATGAAGGACACACTCATAAATGAACGACTTGACAAAGATTCTTTGTTGGAGCTAATGTAGCGTTTGTATTCATATCGAATGATTCACCGATGAGCATTACATTCGCCGCTACAGTATCTAGTGCTTCTTATTAAATTCTCAAACCACTGGACGACAAATTCTTGAACATTGTGAACGCATTTTGTACTGAACGTTTGTTACTCAAACGTTTTTGAAAAGTCATGCTTCGGTTCCGTAGCTCAAAGATACACAATGGATGCAAGTGTACATGGAAATAAGTTTATTTTGACTAACTGAGCTATATAACATACACAATCTGTGAGACTGTGACGAAACGGGTTATTTTGAAGAAAATGAATATGTTCAACATTCGAAATAAATCATAATTTTTATTGAGTTTTTTTTCAACTATTCCCTTTTCATTAGTCCATTCTCGGTGCTCAACTGTGTGTTGAAATTGAAGAAAAAATGCGCTCTGATTCAATTCCAAAACCGCTGGTTTTGCACAATCTGAATCGTTCACTGAGCAAAATACGTGCAAAGCGAATTTTTCACAAATCAAACGTAAATTTCATTTTAATTCATATCGATTCCATTGCAACCGAATCAACAGTTATTATATTTCATTCTCATTTCTTCGCCTTCTCAGCGAAGAAAATAATCTTTGAATAAACAGTGCTGCATCTCACGCCATACGACCGTCCGTGTTTCTGTTATTCTTGCAAATATCCAGCAAAAAGTAAACACACACACACTATCAAACGTGTATGTAAGTCCAGAGCCGTCGCCACATTCATTTATGTCAATGTATTTGAAATATAAGTTCACGTGTTCGAGTGACAGAAAGAAATGTGCGGTTGCACAGCGCTAATTTTGCTCTCTTCCAAGTTGGCAACGCGTCACATTCAATTTGTAATTGTTGCGTTGAGACGACACATCGCACTGTTTTTTGGAAATTCTGTGCGGATAAAAAAATAAAATCATTGTTGAATTCATTTTCAAGTGGTTGCTAACAGTGTTTGTTACTTCTGTTTCAGTTTCGATCAGTGTTCGCTGCAAAAGTAAGTAGTTTTTTTGGAATGGAATTTTGTCGTCAAAATGTTGTAATTAAAATCAATTGAATAATGTTCGGTGCATACATTTCAGATGGGTGACAATTTGTACACATTGTGGTGTAAAGAACCAGCGCCGAATCACGATTTGTACGTGGAAATTTGTTCAACCGAATATGGTCGATCGACAAATGACAAGACAATGAAAAAGAATAATGTGACGGCGAAGAAATTGCGTGACAAAGGCAACGAGTTGTATTCCAAGAAGAAATATCACGATGCAATGGCTTACTACAATCAAAGTATTTCGTACGCCGAAAATAATTCCGAGGCATTAGCATTGGCGTACGCAAATCGATCGACGTGTTTTCTCAATCTGAATCTGTTCCAAGAGTGTTTGATCGACATTGAAAGAGCTCGGATCGGATACCCGTCATCGCAAATGTCAAAACTTGATAACCGCGAACAGAAATGCATGGATTTGATGAACAAAATTGGCAACGAATCGCATGTTCGGGAGCCGGAATTGAGTTTCAATGAAAATGGAATGCATCCTGGTGTTGCTGATTGCTTGAAAATTGAAAAGAATTCCAAGTTTGGTCGTCACGTGGTCACGACACGTGATTTGGAAATTGCTCAAACGATTCTGGTGGAAATGCCATTTGCTTTCAAAAACGAGCCCATCAAGCCGGATCATTCGATGCAGTATGACCCATTCGTTGATAAATCGCGTATCATTCAACACGATCGATCTGGTGACAATACGTTTGGACGATGCATGTACTGCTATGTTGAATGCACCAATTTGATTCCTTGTGAAAATTGCGCGGGCGTTTTGTTTTGCGATGAAGTTTGCATGAAAAAAGCTTATCATAAAAACGATTGCCAGATGGCTGACAGTTCGCGAAAGGAAACACTCGGTATGGTATTGCGGATGCTGTACCGTACAAATGATGCATTTCCATGTGTCAACGAACTGATGACGACTGTCAGACTGCTGTTGGACGGTAACAATGTGAACTGGCACCAAAACGATGACCAAAGAAATTTCAGCTTGATTTTCCAGTTGCCCACGCATTCCGGCCATCAGTGGAGCCGCAATTTGAAACTTACACGTACCGTCACCGAAGTGATTTACAACAAAGTCATGCGTCTGCCAGACTTCAAAGGGAAATTTACATCTTCGACTCATCGTCGTTTTTTGCAGCACTTGATTCTACATCTTTTCCATGTTGCTGAACATGCAATCAATGCCAGCGAATATTGGCGTGAAAGTGATGATCAAAATTTGGGCACTTTTGACGTACGCACATTTGGCAACGGAATGTATCCATTCGGGTGCTACATCAATCATTCTTGCACCCCAAATGTGTGCTGGTATTTCGTTGATCACCGTTTGATTTGTCGTGTGATTCGACCAATCAGGAAAAATCAACAGCTGTTCGGTTTCTATTTGTAAGTGTTTTTTATATCGAAATTTTTATTTCATTTTCTAATGATTTTGCTCTATTTCTCTTTACTTTCTCTTAGCCCATCTACATTGTGCGAGCACATCCCACATCAGAATCGTGGTCTTTTACTCGAATATCATTACTTTTTCAAGTGCAAGTGCAAGCTTTGTTTGAACCCGAATTGGTCCATTTTCACGGGAAAGGATCTCAGCGAAGGTCCATTGTACGAGAAAGCGATCGAACCGACATGGATGGATTTGAATGAAATTCGCAAGCTAACTACCGAAGAGCTCGTATCTTATGAAAGAGAGGCGGCCAAATTTTTGGCAAAATATGATCGTTTCCATCCAGTAAAAGATACAATGATGATGCAACATCAATTGCACATGCTTTGGAACACTTTCGCTTCTCGGCGTTGATCTGACGTTAGCCATTCAGCCGCAGTTTGCAGCATGCATAGTGTTTTTTTACTACTTTTTTCTCAGTATTGATCACTGACATTATTCAGACCGATTTTATGAAAATCTAAACGGTTTAGCGACATAAAAATGACAGCTCGCAAACAATTAACAAATACCATTGGAATGGTAGCTAACTTTAAGAACATTTTTTGATAATCACTTCAATATAAAACACTCAATAATTCGCGAAAATCTTTCATTGTGGCTTTTTGGACTACTTCTCGTTAGTTCTCTTGCGTTAATCACAAACTCATTCATTGACATTTCCATCACTATCAAATCATTCACAGAGAAGAATTAGACATTGGATTTATTTATAGAATTATCATTTTCGATTCTTTTATTCAATTCCATTTCAATTCAGTCATATACAACAGACATACAATTAAAAACAAATTTATGAGCCAGCTAAATATTTTGTAAGTTCTTCATCAATAAAGTGGACAAAAACATAGATTATGTCATCTCAATTTTGATTTTTTTTCAGTGTATTCAAGGTTGCAAAAACGAGTTTCTAATAAATTTTTGGAATTGTAAAAGTAAGTATGCGGAAATGTGAACTAAATTGCTGAAGAATGTTTCTTTTCGTATGTCTGTCCTGATAAAACTCATACAAACATCGAATGACAACACCATTCGGCAAATTATCGCAAAAATATTACTTCGTTGTGATTCCATTTTTTGCCTATATAATTTCTACGATTACAATAGAATTTTCAATTCAAACGCCACCATTAGATTCGCCTGGTTTTTATGACCACCTAACGAAAGGGATTATTTTCCAGCTTCACCTGTAGAACTTGTAATATAACCGGTAAAGGTGTCAAACAGTCCGTCCGTCTTTTTAGCCCGTCTTTTTTTTCTTTTACAGAAAAAAAGCGAAATCTCTAAATAAATGTGATTGATAAAAAGATTTAATTGCATTGGATACAAGCATACATCGACATACATTTCCGTTTTGTTTCGTGCACAACGTTTTTTTGGAGACTGTGTATGAAGTGACCATCGATTTGCACTCATAAAATCGCAGCGCTAAATTCACCGCGTCATTGTTGACAGTGTGCATGTATTCTTTTCATCGACGACAATTGAGGCGAACAAACGTTTAATGAGCACACCACTGTATAGTAGCCATTTTTTATTTGCAAAACAACAAAACACATTTTGATTCGACGTAATTGGGATTGAATTTTCTTATAGTGAAAAAATTTCATTTTCGATCACCATCAAAGTAAAAAATAGATCGTTTTTAAAAACACCATCGAAAGGCGTCAGAAATCAGATAATGGGAAAATCTAAAAAGTCTCAACCGTTTTATTTTTCAATGATTCTTAGGAAGGGGCGATGCGATTGCGCTAAACCATATAAAGCAAAGAAAAAATCCGCCGCTAAGCAGCAGAAAGATGAGGGCGATTCAGCACAAGAAGAGCATGGTGTTCCGGTGCAACAGCTTTGAGCTAAGAAGTGAGTAAATTCGGAAAACAAAACTGTTAGCTTAATTTGGATTAAGAACATTTGTCATCTTTTGCGATTTAACGTTTCTTATTTTCATTCATCGATTCTTAGGCCACGCAAACCAAAAGCAGCAAAGAAACGTCAAGCCACCCAACAAAAACCATATGAAACCGAAAAACGACCCGCCGCTAAGCAGCAGAAAGATATAGTACACGACGAACATGACAAGTTGATGCAACAATTCGAAGATTTGCGGTTGAAAGACACGGGAATTACATTCAAAATAGCAGAAGATCTGCTGTCAAATTGCGAATACGGTTTTGGATCGTTCTATCGCAATGGCAAAGACATAGTTTAGATTTTGATTTGGGGCGACGGAAACAATGAACTTTACCGGCCTCACTCAATTCAGCCTAGCTTTATCGATGTGCAGACGGTTGAATTGTTCGAAAAATTGAACCGTCTCGAAGTAAAAAAATACTGGAACGAAGCGTTCGAATTATGCAAAAAAGAATGCATCCACATGCGCCTTAATGGCTACTGTGATAAGTCTTCATTGTATTTTACCGATTTCACTTTTGCGTATATGAACGGGAACGCACAATTTTGTATCATTCGAATTCTATACGTCTCTTGAGAAAAAATTTAAATATCAAACATACTTCAAAAATAAATGAACAAAAAAAGCGAATGAATATTGTAAACCAAAATTAATACAAAGTAAATAAAGAGAAAACAAATGTATCATGATTCATTTCCATTTATTGCATGCGCGTTCACTGAACGCGAAATATGATTACTGTCCATTATCCAAAATTTTTATTTGTTTACATTTCAACGTAAACATAACGAATAAGTTTGCTGCTGTTTAGCAACTGTTTGTTGATGTCACACCAGTGTCGCGTTAACTATAGAGACGATTGAGGCAATTGCCTCAGGGCACCACGCATTTGGAGGCACCACAAAGAGAGAAATTGAAAGAAATTGTTGATGTTTTGTTGCCCCAAGAAAATAATCATGCTCTGAAAAGCTGTTTATGGTGCCCCATAAAGTGCTGTTTTTGAAAAAAAAAATCACTCGCTACCGCTCGTATTAACAAAAATAAATACAGGAATTTTACGCCCAGCAATATAATACGTACTGTTAATTTTTTTTTTGCTGCATGTTGCATATAAAATTAAAATCTTAACTTAATTAACTTATTGAATCTAGATAACCGCTTTATTTTTCTTCGGTTCTTCAACAAAACAAATTCTTCTATTATTTCATCCATATCTAAAGAATCCAAAGCTTCGTTTTCAATCGACATCAAGGCAAATGCATTCAGTTCCTTATCCGTCCGCAATGTATCTTTTATGTATTTTACCTTCGAAAAAAAAACGTTCATCTGGCACGTTTTTAATGAACAACGATGTAAAAATTCGCAGCATAACATCAATATTCGGGAAAACGGCTTGAAGTTGCTCTTCATGGATTTTCGAATAGATTGAAGCGTGCGAAACGAGAGTACCGGCTAAGGGAATATCACGCTCCTGAATCTTGTGAGATATTTGAGATATTTGAAATAAACATCAATTGAACCCGTGAGCATAAAAACAACGTATTGACTCTTCGCCGATGAATACGAAACGCAAAAAAATCGCCGAACAAAGTGAAACACCAATCTGTTATTGGATCAATATGAAACATGAAATCGTTGGCCACTATTTTATTTACGTTGCGCTTTGTTTCGAAGCGCGGCAAGTGTTTCATTTTGTTCCAGTAACAGAACGTTGTATCACTTTGTTCGGCGACGCGCTCAATGTACTGTTTTG